CATCCTTCCTCAGTATATAAGGTTATTTTATCTCAGTGGCAGAATGAGATTCATAGGCAGGTGCTAGAGAAGGTGTGTGCAAACCTATTTTTTGCCCAGATACTGAGATTATTTCCAGCAATCTCTTTTTATTATTATTCTTGGTGGGTGGGTGGGAAGCCGACTCTCTCTTCGCACAGCCCTTGTGTTTTGATGACAATCTGGTTTTCTGGAGCATATGGGCAGGCAACTCATTGGGCTCCGTGCCACACGATTCGTTGGATTCCTGACAGATTCAGAGCGGGGTTTGAGACCGCTGTCCCTCCCTCCAACCATGCACGACCGCCTCTCCTTTGGAAATGGACTCCAAAATCAGGTCGGAAACGCCCCGGCTATTTTTAAACTTGCAAGAACCTGTTGCTAGGCACTGCCGAGCTAAAGGTGGTCCGGCAGCCGCAGCACCGGAAACGGGAAGCCTCAGCGGCTGGGGAGAAAGTCTAAGAGGGATTAGGTGCTAATCACAGGTATCTCAGGATTTGGGGTCTTGGATTGTCTCATTCTCACCAGAGTTAACAAGGCGCAGAACAATCCGTGTTTCCGCAGCGAGAGAAATTTTGCAAAATCCGATTCTCACAGAGACAGAAAGCAAGGTGAAATCTTCTAAACAGGAGCACAGACTACAAAACAGACACCATAGGGGTGTTAACCCTTCCCTATGTGATCCAAAGCATGCATATACAGTGGTCCCTTGCAACTTCGCGGTTCGCTTATCGCAGACTCGCTGTTTCACATTTTTTTAATTAAAAAAAGAATTTTAGTAGCGAGGGACCATTGAGTGAAAGAGAGAGAGGCACCTCATTGCCAGGTGTCATGTATAATAATGTCCAGAGATATTGAGACGCTGGAATGTGTCCAGAGGAGGGCGACTAAAATGATCAAGGGTCTGGAGAACAAGCCCTATGAGGAGCGGCTTAGGGAACTGGGCATGTTTAGCCTGAAGAAGAGAAGGCTGAGAGGAGATATGATAGCCATGTATAAATATGTGAGAGGAAGCCACAGGGAGGAGGGAGCAAGCTTGTTTTCTGCTTCCTTGGAGACTAGGACGCGGAACAATGGCTTCAAACTACAAGAGAGGAGATTCCATCTGAACATTAGGAAGAACTTCCTGACTGTGAGAGCCGTTCAGCAGTGAAACTCTCTGCCCCGGAGTGTGGTGGAGGCTCCTTCTTTGGAAGCTTTTAAGCAGAGGCTGGATGGCCATCTGTCGGGGTGATTTGAATGCAATATTCCTGCTTCTTGGCAGGGGGTTGGACTGGATGGCCCATGAGGTCTCTTCCAACTCTTTGATTCTATGATTCTATGATAATAATTTATTTATTTACTTACTTACTTTGCTTGTATACCGCAGTTTCTCAGCCCGTAGGCGACTCAACGCGGTTCACAACAAGAGCAAAAAGTCAATCCAACAACATACAAAATTTAAAAACCATTAACAACATAATATACAGAATAATGACACATCAATAACAACACGTTAACGTCTCGTAACTAGAATCGTGATCCAATTCGTTATCCATAATTCTGTTTCCTATATTCATCGTGTACATTGCACTGTTTATCCGAACGCCTGTTCAAACAGCCAGGTTTTTAGTTTTCTTCGAAACACCATTAACGTAGGGGCTGATCTAATGTCCACGGGAAGGGCGTTCCACAGCCGAGGGGCCACCACAGAGAAGGCCCTGTCCCTCGTCCCCGCCAGCCGTGCTTGTGATGCAGGCGGGATCGAGAGCAGGGCCTCCCCAGAAGATCTTAGAGTCCTGGTGGGTTCATAGGCAGAGATACGTTCGGATAGGTAGCTTGGGCCAGAACCCAAGCTACCTATCCGATAATAATGATAATGATAATAATGATAATAATAATAAACCTTTATTTATACCCCGCTACTATCTCCCGGAGGACTCGGTGCAGCTTACAAGAGGCCGAGCCCAAATACATCAATAAAAACAACACAGTAATACAGACAATAAATAAACTCATAAACAAAGCAATAAACAGTAATAATAGCACCACGACGCGTTAAAAATCTATGGCAGGGCCAAATGTAATAAAATTTTAAAATACTGGGCATGACAAGGTGACATATAACTAGGATAGGTATTTGGAGAGAGAAGGAGTGAGCAGACAATCCTAGATCATTAGTAAAGTGCGATTAGGGACATGTTGCTTAGGGTTTCCTTATTCCGGGAAGGCACACTGGAACAACCACGTTTTCAGGCTCCTCTTAAAGCCTGCCAGAGTTGGGGCATGTCTATTGTCCTTGGGGAGCGAGTTCCAGAGTCGAGGGGCCACCACCAAGAAGGCCCTATCCCTCGTCCCCACCAATTGCGCTTGCGATGGAGGTGGGATCGTGAGTAGAGCCTCTCCAGATGAATGAAGAGATCGTGTGGGTTCGTACACAGAGATGTGGTCACGCAGGTAGGCAGGTCCCATGTATCATGTTCTGCAGTTGATTGTGGTTGGTGGTGGTAGGCATAGCAGTTGGTGATGGAAGGGTTAACGTAAGTCTTAGTTCTAAAGGATTGGGTAATCTGTAAGTAAGAGTTCATGGGTGAAAGCAATTAAGGGTGGACGTATGCAAGAGATGGGTTGCAGCTGGGTGTTTCTGGATGTAAGGACCTAGCCTTGGGACTGATCTTTGGGAGAAAAGTATTTGTCTTATTTTGGTGGTAGATGCTGCTGGTTTTTCCCCAGGTCTTTGGATTTTCGGTATCCTGACTTGTCTCCTGAACTGTTAGAACCCTGAAACTTTGAATGTCTGGACTGGCTTTGGACTACTGTATAGACTCTTGATCCCTGGACTTTGTTTATTGAACTCTCCGCGTTTGACCACTGGACTGGATCTTTTGACTATGGACCTGCAACAGTGTTTGCTGTTTTTGTTTTATATTCTGTGGCTGAGTGCAATCTTTATGTTTTATATTTTGGACTGTTAAAACAGCCAGAAAATAAGTGTTGTTTTAATTAAACTGCTTGATACAAACTGGGTATTTGTTTGGTTCATCTCTACCTGAATAAGGCAGAGCCCTGGCATCTTGACACCTGGGCCTCTTGCTGAAGCTTCTTCTTCCCTCTGAGGCGGCTCTTCTTCTTTTCTCACCCTCTTTACCTTCCTCTTCCTCCTCCTCGTTGCCGCTTGGGCCTCTTGGTGCTGCTTGGGTCCCGTGATTGAGGAGGCGGTGGTGGTGTCGTGGGACCCAAGCGGCAGCAAGAGGCCCAGGCGGCAACGAGGAGGAGGAAGAGGAAGGTAAAGAGGGCGGGGAGGGGGCATCCCTACTTCATGGAATTTCACTTATCACGGGTAGTCCCGGAACATAACACCTGCGATAAGTGAGGGGCCACTGTATATTTAGCTTGTATTTATCTTTCGATGGAGTTACACTTAAAAATGCCCCTGTTCCGACTTACATACACATTCGACTTAAGAACGAATCTGCAGAACCTCTCTTGTCCGTAACCTGAGGACTATCTATACCAGGGGTCCTCAAACTAAGGCCCGGGGGCCGGATATGGCCCTCCAAGGTCATTTACCCGGCCCTCGCTCAGGGTCAACCTAAATCTGAAACGACTTGAAGGTAAACAACAACAACAACAACAACAATCCTATCTCATCAGCCAAAAGCAGGCCCACACTTCCCACTGAAATACTAATAAGTTTATATTTGTTAAAACTGTTCTTCGTTTTAATTATTGTATTGTTTTTAAGTGTTTTTTGCACTACAAATAAGATATGTGCAGTGTGCATAAGAATTCATGTTTTTTTCAAATTATAATCCGGCCCTCCAACAATTTGAGGGACTGTGACCTGGCCCTCCGTTTAAAAAGTTGGTGGACCCCTGATCTATACCATGCCACACAAATGCAGTGCGCATGGTAAACAAAACATAATATGAGGCCATATGACAACCTAGGAAGCTGTCCTAAATGGACAACAATTCTTTGCAGAGTAATTCCCATGTATAATTACTCAGTCCCTGGATTCATAGTAGGGACTTCCTTCCCAGTCTTCTCTTTTGCCATTTTGCCCTAACCCTAACCTTGTAGCTTAGTTCCCCTCAGTCTGTAAGAGGTCTCTGTGGGAGAAGGGCTTCAGTGAGTTAGTAGGCCTCAGTATGAGAAGGCCTCAGTGTTAGTTTGCCTCAGTACATGTGAAGCGCCAGTCTAAGAGAACCCTCAGTGTGAGAAGACCTCAATGGCAAAAAGGCTTCAGTGTGAGGTAGGCCTCAGTGTGAGTAGGTCTGGTGTGAAAAGCTTTGGTGAAAGAAGTGTCACATTGAAGGCCATCGTGTGTGAAGGATGCTGTCAGTACAAAGCTACTGTGTGAAGCTCCTGTGTAACTTCAGTGTGAGAAGAGTCTCTGTGAGAGTGAAGCTGTTTATCTGCATGAGAAAGAAGCCCAACGTGGAAGCAAAGAAGGAAATATAAAGAACTTTATTTGTGTTATGCAAACCTTGTTCTTGTAAATAGTGCAACCATATTATTTTGCTATAAAGAAAAGCCTCCTATGGAAGAGATAACATTGCTCTGTGTGTTTCTGTTCTTTTGATCACTTTTGGCTCCTGGTGCTGGGTCATGCTGTTGCTAAGAAGTTACTCTGCTGTGCATTTATGAGGAGGATCTTTTGCTATGAAGCCCACACACCCAACATCTCCAACCTTCTGCTTCAAGTGGATATTGAAAATAGCAATAAGATTAATGTAGACACATTGCCCAGTTGCACTAAATGAAGCCTTAGGGCCCATTTTTCCTGGCTGGATTTTCTGAAGCAACCCAAGAAGCAACAGGAGATCCCCGATTCCTTTCTTTCCCAAATGTTATATATACTGATCCTGATTCTAACGCTTGTAACGCAGCAGGAAATCCTGCCGTGCACCTGAAAAGAGCCGCTACTTTCTCATCTGCGGAGTTAAGGTAAAGTCGACCCTCTTTTGGAACGCAAAGCCGTGTTAACGTAAATAGGATTACACCTAACCCCTTGGCAATCGCAGCAGTCCGTGCCCTGTATAGTCACTGCTGCACCGAGAATGATACCGAGAGAAGTTTGGATTTTGGCTCGGGGCTGGCGGTCCTGCCCCAGATTGGCTTGTGGCCAAACCTTAAGGCTGATTTGCAGCAGCAGCAGATCATGAAGCAAAATCCTGGAGGAGCAAAGCGATGGCAGGGCAGGGAAATCAGGGGACTTGCAGCTCTCCGGCATTAGTCTCTTAGCCCTCCTGGATACGATCCAACAACATCCGAAAAACAACAAAGGGACATCTCCAAGGAACTGTACAACTGCGTGCCATTTGGAAATGTCCACGAGGAGCAGGAGAAGGATCGTCGGCATGAGTCCGAAGGAAGATCTGTGCTCAATCAGAAGGACAAGGGCGGACGGAGTAAGCAGCTAAGTATTTAGACAATCCGTAGAGATATGGTGGCCAATCATCCTGGGTTGTGACTACTCATTCCACGTCATTTTTATGCATTTTCCCTTGCTACGATCGTTGTTTAGTCTTTAATGATAGGCACTGTTTTGGACAACGTACAGGACGGGACAGTTCCTTCAGAGAAGTGCTTTCAATGTGCGGTCAGTAAACAAGACAGAGGAATGCCCTTTGGGTCTGAGGCTGGTGAAGGTGTTGGAGATCATGTCTTAGTGGAGTGGTTCCCAATGTTTTTTTGACCAGGGACCACTTGACCATGGACCTCTTTGACTAGGAACCACTCTCCAACATTAGTCCCAAAAGGGTTACAAATCCGTTTTTGGTCAACCTTAGTTTCAGTTTGGTTATTTGGGGTACTGATTCAGAAGATTGCATTGGATAGACCACATCAATTCTAGTTTCTGATACAGAACATATGCCATCCAATAGTCGCCATCTGCTCATCCACAGAAAACTAAGACTTAGCACTATAGGAAGGTTTTGCGAGACCAGTTGCTTTTGTTGCAACGGTGAGGCCATGGACCATATTTTAGTTCTTGCAGACCACTGATAGTCCATGGACCACAGGTTGGGAATCACTTGGTGAATGTAGGACAAGTCTTCTTGAACTATAGACAGCAGAAAGGCAAGCAAGAAAAGAGTTTGAATGCACCTCAACATTGGAAAGAACTTCCTGTTGGTAGAGGAGTTGTTGTGATGTCTACGCGTCTGGTGGAGCTTCTTTCTCTGGGTTTTCTTAAGCAGGTGCTGGAGGGCCATCTCTCAGGAGTGTTTTTGTGCATTCCTGCAACCCCAAGGATTGGATTAGATGGCCACTTCTTGCTCTACCAGAAAAGACAGACGAGCTGTAGAGCAGTGTTTCTCAACCTTCCTAATGCCGCGACCCCTTAATACAGTTCCTCATGTTGTGGTGACCCCCAACCATAACCCTAACATTATGAATCGCCATGTAAATAATGATCTGCAGGATGTATTTTCATTCACTGGAGCAAATTTGGCACAAATACCCGGTATGCCTAAATTTGAATACTGGTGGGGTTGGCGGGGGGATTGATTTTGCCATTTGGGAGTTGTAGTTGCTGGGATTTATATTTAACCTGTAAACAAAGAGCATTCTGAACTCCACCAACAATGGAATTGAACCAAAGTTGGCCCACAGAACTCCCATGACTAACAGAAAATACCGGAAGGGTTTGATGGGCATTGACCTTGAGTTTGGGAGTTGAAGTTCGCCTACATCCAGAGAGCACTCTAGACTCCAACAATGATGGATCTGGACCAAACTTGGCATGGATACTCCATATGCCCAAATGTGAACACTTGTGGGGTTTTGGGAAAATAGACCTTGAGATTTGGGAGTTGTACTTGCTGGGATTTATAGTTCACCTACAATCAAGGAGCGTTCTGAACCCCAACGATAGAATTGGGCCAAACTTCCCACACAGAGACCCCCATGACCAACAGAAAATACTGTGTTTTCTGATGGTCTTTGGCGACCCCTCGGACACCCCTTTGCGACCCCTCCAGAGGTCCAGACCCCCAGGTTGAGAAACTGCTGTAGAGAGATGTCCAAAGGCATAGTGTGCATCTTTAGCATGCAAATACCTAGAAAGACAGGATGTAGGAGAACAGTCAGAAGGGACAATTGGATGTATTATAATCCCTCCCTTCTCGTCTGCAGTGTTATGGCACACCGTGCTATTCCTGCTTGGCTTCTTAGACACATGGCATAAGGATCATGCAGGTGTGATGGGATGCCCCAGTTGATCCCTACTATGGAGTGGAACCAGAAAGGTAGAAACTCTTCAGTAAATAAATAGAGCTGTATTTATTTATCGTATCAGAAGTGAATTGAGGGTAGAGTTATAATGTATTTAAAAACACAAACAAAGTTAAAAACTTGACATTATACTAGATTTCCTTTGACCAGAAGCTGGCCACTTGGAGTGCCTCTGGTGTGGCTATAAGAAGGTCCTCTATTGTGTATGTGGCAGGGCTCAGGTTGCATTGTAGTAGATGGTCTGTGGTTTGCTGTTCTCTGCACTCGCTTGTCATGGATTCCACTTTGTAGCCCCATTTCTGAAGGTTGACTCTGCATCTTGTTTGTTCCAGAGCGCAGTCTGTTCAGCTCCTTCCAAGTCGCCCAGTTTTCTGTGTGCCCAGGGGGGAGTCTCTCATTTGGTATCAGCCATTGATTGAGGTTTCACCTGCCACTTTTGGACTCTTGCTTGCTGAGGTGTTCCTGCGAGTATCTCTGTAGATCTTAGGAAGCACTTTCTTGATTTAAGGCATGGTTTGCTGGCTGATATCCAAACACAGGATGAGGTGGAGATGTCAATGCCTTGGTCCTTCCGTTTTGTTGTTTATTCGTTCAGTCGCTTCCGACTCTTCGTGACCTCATGGACCAGCCCATGCCAGAGCTCCCTCTCTGCCGTCACCACCCCCAGCTCCTTCAGAGTCAAGCTAGTCACTTCAAGGATACTAACCACCCATCTTGCCCTTGGTCGGCCTCTCTTCCTTTTTCCTTCCCTTTTCCCCAACATCATGAGAAGACAGGAAAGCTTAGAGAAGATAATGATGTGACCAAAGTACTTCATCTTTGCCTCTCATATCCTTCCTTCCAATGAGCAGTCTGGCTTAACTTCCTGAAGTATGGACTGGTTGGATCTTCTCGCGGTCCAAGGCACTCTCAGAATTTTCCACCATCACTACAGTTCAAAAGCATCTATCTTTCTTCCTTTCGTTATTGACTGCTACTTCCCGACAGATATCAGGTGGTGCAACACCAGTTAAACAATATGATCTCCAGCGGTGTTGGGTGTACACATCCTGTGATAATGCAGCATGTCTCATTAAGAGCCACATCCACTGTTTTAGCATGGTGAGATGTGTTCCACACTGGGCATGCATACTCAGCAGCAGAGTAGCATAGCGCAAGGGCAGATGTCTTCACAGTGTCTGGTTGTGATCCCCAGGTTGTGCCAGTCAGCTTCCATATGATATTGTTTCTAGCACCCACTTTTTGCTTGATGTTCAGGCAGTGCTTCTCGTAAGTCAGAACACAGTCCGTAGTGACTCCCAGGTATTTGGGTGCACTGCAATGCTCCAGTGGGATTCCTTCCCAGGTCATCCTCAGAACTCGAGATGCTTGTCTGTGGTTATGGTGAATAGAGCGGTGGCGCATAGGAATCCGCCCCTTTGTGGATGCTCTCTTAAAGGAGTTGGCCACACAGAGCCACAATGTTGGCCTAAGGAAAACTGTGGGCTCCTGCTATCCGGCTGTGCAAGGAAAGTCTTCTGGGGAATGTATGGATTTCCCCTAGATTCAAAGAACGCCGGGTAAATTTTCAGACGTTGGAGATGAAAGCGACTAATTAGTCCTGCTTTGAAACCTTCCCTGGGGAGAGACAAATAATAATGAGAACGGAAGCTCATGCACCGACTCTGCTTTCCTCGCTCATCGCCGCGGTTGCATCCCGGCGTCATATCATATAGTGTAACCCGTCTTATATTAATCCACAAATGAAAATTGTCGGTGCCTCTTTTCATTCCCCTTTTATCCCAGTTTGCTGGGATCTCCATGCGGGGCCCAAACAGCACGGACACAATTTAACATAGAAAGAGGACTTTTAATGAGAAAATTCAGAGGATAGAGGCCAATTACAATCAATGTACGGAAAGAAAAAGATTGATGTGCACTTGGCCTGCGTTGAGAACAGTTAGGACTTTGTTTGCTGGCCGACAAATGCACGGTACTGATATTTTGTGTGCATCTGTGTATGTATATAAATGTGTGTGTGTATATATGTGTGTGTATATGTATGTTTGTATAAGTGTGTGTGTATATATGTGTGTGTGTGTATATATATACGGTATATATGTGTGTGTATATATACGGCATATACGTGTGTATGTATATGGTATATATGTATGTGTATGGTATATATATGTACTTATATATATACACACACACATATGCACAGATACATATATACACATACATATATATGACACACACACACATACATAATGTATATATACACACACATATATACACACATTCCATGTTCTGGCTACTGATCGTGTTATCCGTATGTGTGTATATATATATATATATATATGTATGTATATATGTGTCTGTGTGTTTGTGTATATACACACACACATACATACACACACATACAGATATCATGATCAGTAGCCAGAACATGGAATGTGTGTGTATATGTGTGTGTATATGGTATATAAGTGTGTGTATATGGTATATAAGTATATGTATACATATGTGTGTATATGTATATATGTGTATATGTTTGTGTGTATATATACACACATATATGCACATACATATATACCACACACACACACACACACACATATCTATACCGTATATACGCATACACACATATATACACACATTCCATGTTCTGGCTGCTGATCATGATATCAGTATGTGTGTATATGTATATATGTGTATATGTGTGTGTTTTGGACATACTCCTGAGTCTGGCTCTTTAAGGCTTCTGGGCTCCGACATGTGTGTGAGTATACACACACACACACACACACACACACACACATACAGATAATCATCATCAGTAGCCAGAACATGGAAAATGATGGATCACTTTCTGATTTTTGCTGGAGACGTGGCAAATGGAGCAGCTTCTTTTATGCTGAAATCAAGTCCAACCCACGCATGCAATGTGACACAGCAACGGATCACATTTGGAGGGAAAGATGATTTTTTTTCAAGATGCATAAAGAAGAAACCTTCCTGAATGCAAAAGGGGCATTTTAAATTGAGCTACAACCAAAATACTTCTCATGTCAACACTTGGGTGCCTTGAGCATCACTGAGGGCCTTTCGGTTTGCTCATTTCTGTATATTTGATGCCTCTCTGCCTTTTCTTCGCTCATTAAGCATGGCTCTGTGCTTATATCTCCGAAATAAATACATCTTGTGCGTCTCGGATGCCAGATGAATGGGGTTTCTTCCCCCCTTCGATAGGCATCAAAATCTTGCAGGAAAATGGTAAGCGCCGAGATTTTTTATGGCCATATAATAAGCTTCAAAGTGCTGCAGGAAAAACCTATATAATATGCAGAAGGGGGAGAGATTACTCAAACTGCTAATTAAGTCAGGGATCTGAAGCAAGAAAAGAAGTAATCTTCCTTCAAAGGGGGGCATTTGCAAAAAGATATAAATGAAATGAGCACCACCAAAGAGACGGAGCTGAGTATCAGCTTGGGAAAGAAATCATGACGTATTTCTTGGGGTAATAAAAATTCAGAGCCAGCGAAGAGCATTGGAGTAAAATGTGACTTCCTTCCCCACATCAAGGCTACGATGTAGGTCAGATGAGAGTCTCCTGAGACGCCCCATGAATGAAATCAATTACCTTCTGCTTAGAGGTAATCAATTCCACCGGAAAGTGGTACAGTACAAGCCTAAGCAAGTTTATCTGGAATAGGTCAGGCACTGGGTTGGAGACAGGCTTAGAGCAGACGCACTGAAATCAGGGGAACGTAAACTAGTCTCGGATTCCTTGAAGTCATCCTTTTATTCATCTGCAATTCATTTCAATTTGTTGTACGTTGCCTAGAAAGAGAGGTTATCAAAGAAATAAAGAGTGCCCTGTTGTCACATTGCCAGGGCTCTGCCAATATTTAGGCAGAGATGAACCAAACTCCCAGTTTGTGTTAAACAATTTAATTAAAACAGCACTTACTTTCTGGCTGTTTTAATTAAATTGTTTAACACAAACTGGGAGCTTGGTTAAACTATTTATTTATTTATTTATTTATTTATTATTCGAACTTCTATGCCGCCACTCCCCTGGGACTCGGAGCGGCTTACAAGAATGGCTAAAATGTAACACAATTTAAAAACAATTTAAAACAATTTAAAAACAGCAATATCAAAAATCAAAGGCCTGTCGAAACAGGTATGTCTTAATTAAAACAGCACTTACTTTCTGGTTGTTTAAAATTGTTTATCACAAACTGGTAGTTTGGTTTATCTCTGCCTAAATATTGGCAGAGCCCTGGCAACGTGACAAAATATTTTTCTCCCAAAGATCAGTCCCAAGGCTAGGTCCTTATATCCAGAAAAACCCAGCTGCAACCTACCTCTTGCATACCTCCACCCTTAATTGCTTTCACTTATGAACTCTTACTTACAGATTACTCAACCCTTTAGAACTAAGACTTACATTAACCCATCACCAACTGCTAGGCCTAACAGGAGCGGGGTACAGGGAGCATACTACTCCTCTGTTGCGCCAGCTCCACTGGCTGCCAATTAGCTTCCGAGCACAATTCAAAGTGCTGGTGTTGACCTATAAATCCCTAAACGACTCCGGCCCAGTTTACCTGTCCGAACGGATTCTCCCCTATGAACCATCAAGGTTGTTAAGATCTGGAGGGGCCCTGCTCTCGGTCCCACCATCTTTGCAATCGCGTTTGGTGGGGACGAGGGACAGGGCCTTCTCGGTGGTGGCCCCTCTGCTCTGGAACTCTCTCCCATTGGAGATTAGAACTGCCCCTTCCCTCCTGACCTTTAGAAAGTTGGTGAAAACCTGGCTTTGGAATCTGGCATTTGATGAGTGAGGCAATGGCTTTTGACCACACGGACGGATGGGGATGAATAGTGATTTTTATGCTAACGACTTGGCTTTATATAATTGTATGATAGTACTTTAATGAGTTTATATTAGTGTATTATTGGATGTGATGTTTTTAAACTATTCTGTATGAACCCCCTCGTTGGAGGTGAGAAGACCGGTATATAAAAGTTCCAAATAAATAAATAAATAGGCCTACCACCACCAATCACCATCAACTGCAGAACACGATACATGACACCTGTTTAATTTAATACCAACTAAGAGTTTGGTTTTTGCACTTTGCCATTCTTTCTGGAGTAAGGTTCCCTTTATCATATCATGCATAGATAGTCCAATAGCTGTGAAAGAGAGAAAAGTTAGAGTGATGGAGGCATTACTTTTTGACCCACCTGCCACTGTTCTACAAATTTTCAGTTTTTCTCAGTTACAGAAACGAAATGTGCCGTTTCTTAATAAATTTAACATGCCGAATTCAAACATAATAATTAAATGTGTTAATTGGCTCTGGTTTTTATGCAACAGCTATTTCAATTTTCTCCACAATAGGTAATTCGTTAATATTATGATAATGCGCCTAACCTTACTGCATGTATATAAACCGTGAATATTTACTAAATTTTAGTCAAATTATATTGCCAATAGTTTATACATGAGAAATATTTATTTAATTAGTCTATTGTTTATGTTTGTGCAGCAAGAAACTTATATTAGTAGGCCTAATGCAGTTGAAAAGTCTGAAAGTTTAAATGTCGCTTTAATCGTGACTTTAGTTTATATCCTGTTTGCTTCTCTTGACTTTTCTTTTGTATTCAAGGAAAGGATTCCCTCTTCCAATGCTCCAGCAGGAGTCTGACAGCATTGACGGAGTCCATTGGCCTTGATATCTTTTTTCCATAGTGCTTTATTTACACACGTGCGAGGCATAACTACAGTAAAAAGAACAATGTAGAACGATGTTTAACGAGACTGTCTCAGTCTTCAACTGACTGACCCTCACCGTTCAAAAGTCTGGCCTTATATAGGGCTTTCTGGCTTTTGCACACGGCACTAATACTGCGTCATCAAACTTTCTAGAGTATTCTAGAATCTTCCATAGTGTAAGTCGCAACATGCATTTTTTCAACCATACGTGATCACGTGATTGCTTATAAATGTCATTTTCATTTTCAGCACCCCAAAATCATAAAAGAACAACTATTTTCAGGCCCGCAACCTTTTCTCCATCGAACAGTGTAATATACAGGCAGTCCCTGAGTTACAAACATCAGACTTACAAATAACTCATAGTTAAGAATGGAGGTGAGACAATTGGGAGAGGAATCTACCCCTTGGAAGGGAAATTCAGCCCTGGGAGAGTCATTATCAGGGGGAAAAGGGGTCTCCACTGAGGCTTTCTCCCCAAACCTTTTTTCCACAAGAAGCCAAAATGTTCAAAACCCATGGCAGGCCGGTCCATCCTCATTGTTTTTCTGCTGAGCAAGCAGCCTCCAACCCGCGCCGACTGTGGGGCTCTTTTCCGAGGCCAAAGCTAATGTTGCGTGGCGACTGAAGTTGGATTTCTCTTGTCAGGATGATTACAAGTGGCTCAGTGATCGGAATATGACTTTGTGGCCGATGGACCATGCGGAAGAATGCGCTGCAACTGATGTTGCCGAAACGGTGGGGAACGGAAGCTTAAAACCCGCCGTGTCGGCAGAATAACAGGGAGTTTAGCGGAAAGGGAGGCTTTGCCGCAAAAGGAGTAAATGTGATTATGTTGCCTGAACGACACAGAGGAGGTCCAGGCAGTGTATTGCATTATATTTTCACGTTAGCATTAAATTACTAGTCAATGCATCTATTTTCATGTATATTTTTCTTTAAATAACGTTTATCTCCCCACCTTCTGACTTGAAACTCTCCAGGAAAGAGTGAAGAAGACATTGGTGCATCGAATCATAAGCCGCATCGAATCCTTTGGGAGATGCTAGCGGGGTACAAATAAAGTAATAATAATAATAATAATAATAATAATAATAATAATAATAATAATTGGTGTTGCACCTCAGTAGAATCACCTTGCTTGAGACACCAAACAGCACACAGGCAATAGTCTTTATGCTTTATTAAAGTAAAAGATAAAAAGTTCAAAAAAGCAAAAGTATAATGTATTGTCGAAGGCTTTCATGGCTGGAATCACTGGGTTGTTGTAGGTTTTTTCAGGCTATATGGCCATGGTCTAGAGGCATTCTCTCCTGACGTTTCGCCTGCATCTATGGCAAGCATCCTCAGAGGTAGTGAGGTCTGTTGGAACTAGGAAAATGGTTTATATATCTGTGGAATGACCAGGGTGAGACAAAGGACTCTTGTCTGCTGGAGCTAGGTGTGAATGTTTCAACTGACCACCTTGATTAGCATACAATGGCCTGACAGTGCCTGGAGCAAACTTTTGTTGAGAGGTGATTAGATGTCCTTGTTTGTTTCCTCTCTGTTGTTGTGCTGTTGTAATTTTTGAGTTTTTAAATACTGGTAGCCAGATTTTGTTCATTTTCATGGTTTCCTCCTTTCTGTTGAAATTGTCCACGTGCTTGTGGATTTCAGTGGCTTCTCTGTGTAGTCTGACTTGGTGGTTGTGAGAGTGGTCCAGCATTTCTGTGTTCTCAAATAAAACAAACAAGGTGTATGTCTATTTATGACATCACAAGCATGCACTTTGCAATGAGAGGTCACCCAAAAACATATAGAAACGCTTCCAGGCTCAAGTATTTTGTATGAGGAGGTCTCAACCTGTGTATTGTGTCCCGATTCCTGTCTTACAGCAACAGCTGCAGGCCTATGTGGCCTGGGTGAATTCCCAGCTGAAGAAGAAGCCGGCGGTCAAGCCCGTGCAGGACCTGAGGCAGGATCTCCGCGATGGGGTCGTCCTGGCTTCGCTTGTCGAAATCGTGGGTCAGTATCATTATTATTACGATATTTATTTATATTCCAAGAGGGGTCTAAATAAACAAAAATAATACTATGTATTGTCGAAGGCTTTCATGGCCGGAATCACTGGGTTGTTGTAGGTTTTTTCCGGGCTATATGGCCATGTTCTAGAGGCATTCTCTCCTGACATTTTGCCTGCATCTATGGCAAGCATCCTCAGAGGTAGTGAGGTCTGTTGGAACTGGGAAAAAGGGTTTATATAGCTGTGGAATGCCCAGGGTGGGACAACGGACTCTTGTCTGCTGGAACTAGGTGTGATTATTTCAACTGACCACCTTGATTAGCATTTGATTGCCTGGCAGTGCCTGGAGCAATCTTTTGTTGAGAGGTGATTAGATGTCCTTGTTTGTTCCTCTCTGTTGTTGTGCTGTTCTAATTTTAGAGTTTATGGTGGTGTTGCATTCGAAACGTCAGGTGAAAATGCTGCTAGAACATGGCCGTACAGCCTGGAAACCACTAGGTTTGGGCCCAGATTGGTTTGACCAAAAGTGATTTGTAATATTCAGTGGTCCATTTTGTGCAATCCTCAAAAACAGAACAGGGAGGAGGGAACTGAAAAGCTGGGCAAAACTGATCAAGAGAGCCGGATTTATTGACTACTAGCCATACCCTGCCGTGCGTTGCTGTGGCCCACATGGGGGTTCTGTGTGGGAAGTTTGGCCCAATTCTATTGTTGGTGGGGTTCAGAACGATCTTTGATTATAGGTGAACTATAAATCCCGGCAACCACAACTCCCAAATGTGAAGGTCTATTTTTCCCAAACTCCACCAGTGCTCACATTTGGACATATTGAGTATTCGTGCCAAGTTTGGTCCAGATCCATCATTGTTCGATTCTGGATGTAGGTGAACTACAACTCCAAAACTCAAGGTCAATGCCCACTAAGCCCTTCCAGTATTTTCTGTTGATCATGTTCTGTGTGCCAAGACTGGTTCAATTCCATCATTGGTGGAGTTCAGAATGCTCTTTGATAGTAGGTGAACTATAAATCCCAGCAACTATAACTTCCAAATGACTCAAGCAATCCACCCCCAACAACCCCACCAGCATTCAAATTTGGATGTATCTAGTATTTGTGCCAAATTTGGTCCAGTGAATGAAAATACATCCTGCATATTAGATATTTACATTACGATTCATAACAGTAGCCAAATTAAAATTATGAAGTAGCAACAAAAATAATTTTATGGTTGGGGTCACTTCAACATGACAAAGTGTATTAAGGGATCACAGCATAAGGAAGGTTGAGAAACACTGGCATAGAATGACACAACATAAGCCAGTAGGACTTTTGAAACTGCCAAGGAAGAAGGCATTCGGGACGAGGGACAGGGCCTTCTCGGTGGTGGCCCCACGACTCTGGAACTCTCTCCCACTGGAAGTCAGAACCGCCCTGTCTATCCTGACATTCAGGAAATGGGTGAAGATGTGGTTGTGGAGACAGGCTTTCGATGAATGAGACAGCACCCTAGGATTGTGGATGGAAGATGAGGTATACTTGTTTTTAATATGACGACTGACCACCGTAGTTTTAAATATAGTTGTTATTTTAAATGTGTTATTGTAATTATGAACTATGATATTTTACTGATTGTATGTTTTTATGGTTGTAAACCGGGCTGAGTCCCTCTAAGAGGTGAGAAGCCCGGTATAGAAAACTTTGAAATAAATAAAATAAATAATTCCCAACATAAGCTTCATCAGAGGGTCACAACAACAATATTGTGGAAGGCCTTCATGGCCAGAATCACTGGGGTGTTGTGGGGTTTCTAGGCTTGTGCAATTTGGCCAAAAGGCATACAGCCTTGGGGTCAATTTTCGGCTATTCCCTCATTCTGTTTACCAGGAAATTACTCGAATCGGGAGGAGTGTTGCCGTTTTTATTCGGCAAAGATTCGTCCCATTGGCTACAATGGGAAATTAAAGGCTCAATCCTTAGTCATTTGAAACCTTCCTTGGTTTTAGACCCCATTTACAACTGCAGGCCTGCCAAGTTTCAGAACAATTCGCCAATCTACTGATTTTTCAGAATTATTTTAAGTTTTAACCATAACTTTTTTTTTTAAAGACAAACTGCCAGAGAGGGTTCTGGGAACTGTAGTCACCGACTGTGTCCATTCTCAGCCAATCAAAGCATAGACACAACCAGGCTTTTTATTGGCTGAGAAACAGAGAGAAAAACTTCAACTCCCATCATGCTCTAAGAGGAAATCAGAGACTTTTCAATGCCCGCCCCATGCAAGTGCTGCTGGGAAAACAAGTTCCCAGCCGGGCCCTCTCTGGAGGAGGAGCCTAGGGAGGTTTTCCACTGCTGGGGAGGGAGAAAAGATGCTGGAGGATCTTCTCCAAGAGTCCCATAGCAAAGCTCTGCTTCGGGCATAATGAAGACTTAACTCCATCCTCTCCAGTCTATATAAATAGAAATGTAATGTTCATTTAATGTTCACTGTGTGGATCATAATAAATTGTGGCAAGTTCTTGGTGGGATGGGCATCCCAAGCCACCTTGTCTCTCTCCTGAGGAATCTGTACAAGGACCAAGGAGCAACAGTCAGAACTGACCACGAAACAACAGACTGGTTCAAGATTGGGAAAGGCGTACGGCAAGGCTGCATCCTCTCACCCAACCTTTTTAACTTGTATGCAGAACACATCATACGATGTGCGGGGCTGGATGAATGCAAAGCTGGGGTGAAAATTGCTGGAAGAAACATTAACAACCTCAGATATGCAGATGACACCACTCTGATGGCCGAAAGCGAGGAGGAGCTGAGGAGCCTTCTAATCAAGGTGAAAGAAGAAAGCGCAAAAGCCGGGTTGCAGCTAAACATAAAAAAACCAAGATTATGGCAACAAGAATGATTGACAACTGGAAAATAGAGGAAGAAACCGTGGAGGCCGTGACAGACTTTGTATTTCTAGGTGCAAAGATTACTGCAGATGCAGACTGAGGCCAGGAAATCAGAAGACGCTTCCTTCTTGGGAGGAGAGCAATGTCCAGTCTCGATAAAATAGTAAAGAGTAGAGACATCAGACTGGCAACCAAGATCCCTTGCCTAGTCAAAGCCATGGTCTTCCCTGTAGTCACCTACGGATGTGAGAGCTGGACCTTAGGGAAGGCTGAGCGAAGGAAGAGATGCTTTTGAGCTGTGGTGTTGGAGGAAAGTGCTGAGAGTGCCTTGGACTGCGAGAAGATCCAACCAGTCCATCCTCCAGGAAATAAAGCCCGACTGCTCACTGGAGGGAAGGATACTAGAGACAAAGTTGAAGTCCTTTGGCCACATCATGAGGAGACAGCAAAGCCTAGAGAAGACAATGATGCTGGGGAAAGTGGAAGGTAAAAGGAAGAGGGGCCGACCAAGGGCAAGATGGATGGATGGCATCCTTGAAGTGACTGGACTGACCTTGAAGGAGCTGGGGGTTGTGACGGCCGACAGGGAGCTCTGGCGTGGGCTGGTCCATGAGGTCACGAAGAGTCGGAGACGACTGAACGAATGAACAACAACAACGTTCATTTGTGGGATTAACAGAACTCAAAACCACTGGATGAATTGACACCAAATTTGGACACAAGACACCTAACAACCCAATGTATGACCACTCAAAAAAAATGTTTTCTGATGGTCTTTGGCGACCCCTTTGACACCCCCTTGCGACCCCCTCAGGGTTGCCGACCCCCAAGTTGAGAAACGCTGTTCTATGCTATAACAGACTCATATGGTTAGTCAAACTAGAAACGTATTCATTCTTCCAGACAAGACGTTGAGATATCACTGAATCTTGCCACATTTTTTTCTTTCTTGGGTCGATATTTATTGCTATGGAGAAAATGGTAGGGTTTGACATATGACTGTGAGATAACGGCAGTCTCCTCAAGGTCTCCGTGATGCCGGCAGGATAATCAAAGCACCTTTTTCCCCTTGCCAGCTGGGTTCCTGGGCATATGCTCTGCCTGCTTATTCTGGTCTTTCAAATCATTGCTTGCACTCCTCTCAGCATTCAAGGGGAAGCAAATGCGGAGGCTCACCACTACACCTTTCCTCCTTGTAGCAGTGTCTAAGGTCTCACAGGTCTGTTCTTCTTGATCATTATTGCTGTCTCTCTTTCACAGCGGGAGAGAAGCTGAGCGGCATACAGGTCAGTCCCACGAACCAGCAGGAAATGAAGGAGAACGTGGAGAAAGTCCTGCAGTTCGTGGCGTCGAAAAAGATCCGTATGCACCAGACGTCGGCCAAAGGTGCGTGGAATGATCTATATAAATAAAAATGTAATGTTCGGTTTGTGGGATTAACAGAACTCAAAAACCACTGGGGCAATTGACACCAAATTTGGACACAAGACACCTAACAACCCAATGTATGTCCTTCACTCAAAAAAAAAAAAATATATGATGAGCCTCCACCACACTCTGGGGCAGAGAGTTCCACTGCTGAACGGCTCTCACAATCAGGAAGTTCTTCCTCATGTTCAGATGGAATCTCCTTTCTTGTAGTTTGAAGCCATTGTTCCATTGCATCCTAGTCTCAAGGGCAGCAGTAAACAAGCTTGCTCCCTCCTCCTCCCTGTGGCTTCCTCTCACATATTTATACATGGCGATCATATCTCCTCTCAGCCTTCACTTCTTCAGGCTAAACATGCCCAGCTCCTTAAGCCGCTCCTCATAGGGCTTGTTCTCCAGACCCTTGATCATTTTAGTCACCCTCCTCTGGACACATGACTGCTTGGGGCATCTTTTTGCCTTTTCCCACCAAATTGGTATCTATTGATCTACTCACATTGGCACGTTTTCAAACTACTAGGAGCTAGGGCTAACAGCGGGAGCTCACCCCGTCCTGCAGATTTGAACTGCCGATCTTCAGGTCAGCAGTTCAGCAGCACATGGGTTTAACTCATTGCACCACAACAGCCCCTTTAGTCTTGTGTATGTGAACACACGGGACTCTAATGCGCAAGAAGCTGCCATCTTGGTAGCATTTCAGTCACTGAATATATAGATTGTATATGAAAAACAAACTTGAAAGAAAGACAAAGCACACACTTATCCTTTGACCACCAACTTAATTGCAATCACAAGAATGCAGGGAAATGCTTTCCCTGCAGGCCTGTTGGTTTCAAAGTGTCCCAGTTTAGTATTATTTATTTATTTACAACATTTATATCCCATCCTTGTCATGCCGAAGGGGACTCAGAATGGCTTACAAGTTATATATACATACAATATATTTTATTATTACCATAGCACAATATTATTATTATAATATATTACTATATTTTACTATACCACTATACTGCAATATTATTAGTAATATTACGTGTAATATATAATATATAATCATTATTATATTGTATTATATTATTATTAATACTATTTTGTGCTAGCCGTCCCCTGCCACACTTTGCTGTGGCCCAGTCTGTGTATATATGTTTTGTACGTGTATATATCTGTGTATGTGTGTGTGTGTTTGTGTATATATCTGATTTTGCGCATCCGTTGTAATGTATGTTTTATTTTGGGGCTTTTTAAGTCCCTTCTGCTGTGATTTTCAGTGTTTTTATGAGTGATGGTCACTCATTGGCCTGAGAAGTGTCTTGTGTCCAAATTTGGTGTCAATTCGTCCAGTGGTTTTTGAGTTATGTTAATCCCACAAACAAACATTACGTTTTTATTTATAGATACTAGCCATCCCCTGCCACGCGTTGCTGTGGCCCACATGGGGATTCTGTGTGGGAGGTTTGGCCCAGTTCTATCATTGGTGGGGTTCAGAATGCTCTATGATTGTAGGTGAACTATAAATCCCAGAAACGACAACTCCCAAATGTCAAGATTCTATTTTCCCCAAACTCCACCAGTGTTCACATTTGGGCATATTGAGTATTCGTGTAGAGTTTGGTCCAGATCCATCATTGTTTGAGTCCACAGTGATCTGTGGATATAGGTGAACTACAACTCCAAAACCAAAGGACACTGCCCACCAAACCCTTCCAGTATTTTCCATTGGTCATGGGAGAACTGTGTGCCAAGTTTGGTTCAATTCCATTGTTGGTGGGGTTCAGAATGCTCTTTGATTGTAGGTGAACTATAAATCCCAGCAACTACAACTCCCAAATGACAAAATCAATTTTTTTTGAGTGAAGGACATACATTGGGTTGTTAGGTGCCTTGTGTCCAAATTTGGTGTCAATTCGTCCAGTGGTTTTTGAATTCTTTTAATCCCACAAACGAACATTACATTTTTATTTATATAGATTGCAATATTATGATCAATATTATATGTACATACAATATGAATGTTGTTTATTGTCTGCGTTCTCCGTTTGCGTTTTCGGTTTTATTCTGCTGTAACTTGTTGTTTGGGCTTTGCCTCATGTAAGCCGCCCCGAGTCCCCTTTGGGGAGATGGTGGCGGGGTATAAATAAAGATTATTATTATTATTATTATTATTATTATTATTATTATTATTATTACTACTACTACAAATAGTCTGAAGCATTGAGTGGCAAGAGAGAGTCATGGCTTCGTGTGGAAATGGGAAGCACATGCCCATGTTTGCTCTTTCCACTCCGGGAGAAGATCAGCACAGCCCTGAAGGCCAGAGGCATCAGCTGAGCAGCATGTGTTGCCCAAAGGATGGGGAGGATAATATTGCCTTTGTGCCGACAACGACACACTTGCGGAGCCGAACCCTTCCCGCCGCTCCTTCTTCCTCAGGGAGATTTTATCCAAGAACTCTTTCACATGAGTCTGGGCATAAGATTTTAACGGCACCCTGGTCATCTGGGCTTGCGTCTCCGATTTACCTTGACCAGAAGCTGGTCACTTGTAGTGCCTCCGGTGTCTCTGCAAAAAGATCCTCTATTGTGCATGTGGTAGGGTTCACGCCACACTTTAGCAAGTGGTTTGTGGTCTGCTCCTCTCCACACTTGCACATTATGGATTCCACTTTGTTGCCCCATTTCTTAACGTTGGCTCTGCATCTTATGATGCAGTCTGTTCAGTACCTTCCAGGTCATCCACTCTTTTGTGTGCCCAGGAAGGAATTTCTCATCTGGTCTCAACCATAGATTGAAGTTCAAGGTTTTCACCTGCCACTTTTGGACTCTCGCTTGCTGAGGTGTTCTGCAAGTACCTCTGTAGATCTTAGGAAGCTCTTTCTCGATTTAAGACGTTGGCATGCTCGCTGATATCCAAACAGAGGATGGGCCAGAGATGTCAATGCCTTAGTCCTTTCATTACAGGCTGCTACTTCCTGATAGATATTAGGTGGTGCAAAACCACTTTTTTTGTCGTGTCAGGAGCGACCTGAGAAACTGCAAGTCGCTTCTGGTGTGAGAGAATTGGCAGTCTGCAAGGACATTGCCCAGGGGACGCCCGGATACCACTGAAGGAGTATAATGGCCTTGCTGGTGGGGCCATCTGACTATCTTGCTCCAATGTCCTGTTTCCACAATATAATAAATCTAGGACGCTTTGTGTTTGCTGGTCATTATTGTAGGAATCCTGCAATAATGCGGCATGTCTCATTAAGAGCCACATCCACTGTTTTAACGTGGGTAGATATATTCCATACTGGGCATATGTGTACTCAAAATACAGTTAAAACAATTATAAAAACAATTCAACATTCAGCAGTAGAGTAGCAGCCATGAACAGTTGATGTCCTGATATTAGCCCAGCTACTTATTATTTATTTATTCTTTTATTTACTACATTTGTATACTGCCTTTCTCAGCCAGAGGCGACTCAAGGCGGCTCACAGTCGGCAGCGATTCGATGCCATAACAAATCTCAAAATACAGTTAAAACAATTATAAAAACAATTCAACATTTAAAATGTAATATAAAAGAAACAATAGTATCTATTAAAAAACAAGATCCTCGGCGTCTCCATTGTCCAATTGCAGCGTTGGTCATTCCATATTTCCGTTTCCGCCTAATTATACTCCAGTAGTAAAAGCTTGCTCGAAGAGCCAGGTCTTAACCATTTTGCGGAATGTTAGAAGAGAGTGAGCCAATCTTATATCCCTGGGGAGAGCGTTCCATAGCCGAGGGGCCACCACTGAGAAGGCCCTGTCTCTTGTCCCGCTAAACGCATCTGCGAGGAAGCCTCTGTGTGTCTGTCTATATATGTGGTGTGTCTATGGCATTGAATGTTTGCAATGTATAGGGAGCATTGCGATCCGCCATGAGTCCCCTGTGGGGTGAGAAGGGTGGAATATAAATCCTGTAAATAAATAAATAGACTTACAGGCTTCAATGGGCCTTGATGAGGACTGTTAATAGGATGGATGTCCTCCTAGCCATGGGTCACTTTCCCCACAAGCCTGAAATTACGCCATGCATTTACAATCCTGCCCTGCAGGTGGCAGCCACAGATGTTATTTGGGGTTATTTGCTCAGCCACAGCCTCGAAGGCACACTCATGCGCAGGGTCAGCCCAGGTTAGTCATTGGATGGAGGCTTCCACTGAATACTAGGTGATGTTGGCTATATTTCAAAGGAAATCTCTGAGTATCCCTTGCCTATTTATTTATCGTGTCATCAGCAACCATACCATTATATTACAATTCCAACACAGCGAAACAAACACACAGATTAAAAAGAAAAAGGAAAAAGAACACACAGATTTTGCAAATTTGGTAGTTGGTTAAATGTCCTTTGACCAGTATCTGGCCCCTTGGAGTGCCTCTGGTGTTGCCGCAAGAAGGTCCTCCATGGTGCATGTGGCAGGGCTCAGGGTGCATTGCAGCAGGTGGTCAGTGGTTTGCTCTTCTCCACACTCGCATGCAGTGGATTCCACTTTGTGGCCCCATTTCTTGAGGTTGGCTCTGCATCTCGTGGTGCCAGAGCGCAGTCTGTTCAGCGCCTTCCAAGTCGCTCAGTCTTCTGTGTGCCCAGAGGGAGTCTCTCATCTGGTATCACCCATGGATTGAGGTGCTGGGTTTGGGCCTGCCACTTTTGGACTCTCGCTTGCCTAAGAAAACCCTACAAACTCCATCAGGTTGCCATACGTCAACAGAGGACTTGAAGGCATGATTGACTCTGGGTTGTTGTAGGTTTTTCGGGCTATATGGCCATGTTCTAGAAGCATTCTCTCCTGACATTTCGCCTGCATCTATGGCAAGCATCCTCAGAGGTTGTGAGGTCTGAGGTTGCTTGCCATAGATGGAGGCGAAACGTCAGGAGAGAATGCTTCTAGAACATGGCCATATAGCCCGAAAAACCTACAACAACCCGGTGATTCCGGCCATGAAAGCCTTCGACAATACATGATCGACTCTCTTCAGTCCCATCTATATTGCATCAGTCGACTGGCATTACTACGGTCCATGGTTTTCTGCCTTGTTGGCATAAAATAGACTATAATAACTTTATTGCCATTGTACATCGTAAAACAAAATTAAATCCCCTATACAAATTATTATATATTTATAATTACAAAAACAAACACAGCCATCCTTCCACATTCTAATTGCTATTTCACAACCCTGTAATGCCACATCAGTGTGAAACTATAAAGTTCAATATAGTCACAGCTCTGGGATAAAGGCTATCTCTCAGCCTGTTTGTCCTTGTTTTTATCATCTCATACCATCTGCCAAATGTTATATCGCAGTGGTAGAAAGACAGTCTATAAAATGGAGGGTGAGGAAGAGATGCCAAGTGAGGTTGCCAGTGACATGTATTGGGTGAGTGGGCTTAATAACAAAAGACCCTCCTCATAAATGTACAGCAGAGTAGCTTATTAGAAGCATTGTGAAAATAATATGGTTGCACTGTTTACAAGAACAACGTTTCCAAAACGCAAAGTTCTTTATACTTCTTTCTTTGCTTCCACGCTGGGCTTCTTTCTCCTGCAGATAATTAGCTTCGCTCTCACGGAGGCTCTTCTCACACCAAACTTACACAGGAGCTTCACACACAGCAGCCTTCACACTGAAGCTTCATACACAATGGCCTTCAACCTGGGGTTTCCTCCCACTGAAGCTTCTCACACCAAGCCTTCCTCATACTGAGGCCTACTCACACCAAGACCTACTAACACTGAGGCCTTTCTCACACTGAGGCCTTTCTCACACTGGCATCTCTCATACACTTATTTATTTATCGTGTCGGGCAACCAGACAATTGTATTACATTTCTAACAGAACAAAACAAACAAACAGACAGACAGACAAAACACAAAATTTGCAAGCTTGGTAGTTGATTAGATGTCCTTTGACCAATATCTGGCCACTTGGAGTGCCTCTGGTGTTGCCGCAAGGAGGTCCTCCATGGTGCATGTGGCAGGGCTCAGGTTGCATTGCAACAGGTGGTCAGTGGTTTGCTCTTCTCCACACTCGCATGTTGTGGATTCCAATTTGTAACCCCATTTCTTAAGATTGGCTCTGCATCGTGTTTGTTCCAGAGCGCAGTCTGTTCAGCGCCTTCCAAGTCTCCCAGTCTTCTGTGTGCCCAGGGGGGATCCCTCATTGGGATCAGCCATTGATTAAGGTTCTGGGTTTGAGCCTGCCACTTTTGGACTCTCGCTTGCTGAGGTGTTCCAGCGAGTGTCTCTGTAGATCTTAGAAAACTATTTCTTGATTTAGGTCATTGGCGTGCTGGCTGATACCCAAACAAGGGATGAGCTGGAGATGTCACTGCCTTGGTCCTTTCACTATTGGTATTAGTGTATTCTCATACACTGAAGTGAACTAACACTGAGACCTACTCATATTGAGGCTTACTAACACACTGAGGCCCTTCTCCCACAGAGGCCTCTCTCAGACTGTGGGCTACTAAGCTACAGTCACACCTGCTTATATTGAACTGCAGCTCTTGCTGTCTCATTGCATCCATTTAACCCAGTGGTTCTCAACCTTCCTGATGCCGTGACCCCTTAATACAGTCCCTCATGTTGTGGTGACCCCCAACCATAACATTGTTTTTGTTGCTACTTCATAACAGTCATTTTACTACTGTTATAGATCATAATGTAAATATCAGATATGCAAGATGTATTTTCATTCACTGGACCAAACTGGGCACAAATACCCAATGCATCCACATGTAAATGCTAGTGGGGTTGGGGGAGGATTGATTTTGTAATTTGGGAGTTGTAGTTGCTGGGATTTATAGTTCACCTATAATCAAAGAGCATTCTGAACTCCACCAGCGATGGATTTGAACCTAATTTGCCACACAGAACTCCCATGACCAACAGAAAACACTGGAAGGGTTTGGTGGGCATTGACCTTGAGTTTGGGAGTTGTAGTTCACCTATATCCAGAGAGCACTGTGGATCACGCAATGATGGATCTGGACCAAACTTGGCACAAATACTCAATATGCGCAAATATGAACACTGGTGGAGTCTGGGGAAAATAGACCTTGACTTTTGGGAGTTGTAGTTGCTGGGATTTATAGTTCACTACAATCAAAGAACATTCTGAACTCCACCAACGATAGAATTGGCTCAAACTTCCCACATGGAATCCCCATGACCAAGAGAAAATATTGTGTTTTCTGATGGTCTTTAGCGACCCCTCTGACACTCCTTCGCGACCCCCTCAGGGGTCCCGACCCCCAGGTTGAGAAACACTGATATACACCATAGTCAGTGCTTGACTCATATTTTTGTAATTAAAAATACCTAGTTAACATTTAATATTTCTGACAACATGTGTGTACTTTGTGACATGTCTTTCTTTGAATGTAGCTGCAGTGATTAGAACTAGCCAGACTATGCTGCAGGTAACACCAGTCCTTTGGACCTTGTTTTGTTTTGTAGACATTGTCGACGGGAACCTGAAATGCATCATGAGGTTGATCCTTGCCTTAGCTGCTCATTTTAAGCCCGGGTCTAGCAAAGCCACCAACCAGGCTGCGTCGAGCGCCATCGGAAGGAGTTCCATGGGGCCAGAGGCGCCATCATCCAATCACCGTCCCCATTCGACTGCTGCAGTTGCTCAGGGGGCTATGGCTGCCTTGGCCGACGTTCGGCAGGACGTCTTACGTTTGGGACGCGACGCCTTCCGGCGCAGGCGGAGGTACGGGCTCCTTTTGAGGGTGGGCAAATTTTGGACTTCCAGGTGTTTTGACTAGTGGCTGATTTCATGACTAAGAATGACATTCAGGGCAGGCATGGACCAACTTGGGCCCTCCCTCCAGGTGTTTAGGACTTCAACTACCACAATTCCTAACAGCCGGAATCACTGTCTGTTTCCTCGACAACAGATCTGCCCAAAGCATTCCCATCATACCTGCGAAGGGCTTAGTATTTGGCATTCCCATTATACCAAATACCTGGGAGTCACTCTGGACCATGCTCTGACCTACAAGAAGCACTGCCGGAACATCAAGCAAAAAGTGGGTGCTAGAAACAATATCATATGAAAGCTGACTGGCACAACCTGGGTATCACAACCAGACACAGTGAAGACATCCGCCCTTGCACTGTGCTACTCTGCTGCTGAGTATGCATGCCCAGTGTGGAACACATCTCACCACGCTAAAACAGTAGATGTGGATCTTAATGAGACATGCCACATTATCACGGGGTGTCTGCGCCCTACACCACTGGAGAAATTACACTGCTTAGCCGGTTATTGCACCACCTGACATCCGCCAGGAAGTAGCAGCCAATAGTGAAAGGACCAAGGCAGAGACATCTCCAGCTCATCCCCTGTTTGGGTATCAGCCAGCACGTCAATGACTTAAATCAAGAAATAGTTTTCTAAGATCTATAGAGTCGTTGGAACATCTCAGCAAGTGAGAGTCCAAAAGTGGCAGGCTCAAACCCAGAACCTCAACCAATGGCTGATACCAAATGAGAGACTCCCTCCTGGGCAAAGCAGTTCAAAACTTGCAAATGTGAGTAGATCAAAAGGTACCGCTGCAGCGGGAAGGTAACGGCGCTCCATGCAGTCATGCCAGCCACATGACCTTGGAGGTGTATATGGACAACACCGGCTCTTAGAAATGGAGATGAGCACCAACCTCCAGAGTCAGCCAGCACATCAATGACTTAAATCAAGAAATAATTTTCAAAGATCTACAGAGACACTTGCTGGAACACCTCAGCAAGCGAGAGTCCAAAAGTGGCAGGCTCAAACCCAGAGCCTCAATCAATGGCTGATACCCAATGAGAGACTCCCCCCTGGGCACACAGAAGACTGGGCAACTTGGAAGGCACTGAACAGACTGGCACCACGAGATGCAGAGCCAACCTTAAGAAATGGGGCTACAAAGTTGAATCCGACATGCGAGTGTGGAGAAGAGCAAACCACTGACCACCTGCTGCAATGCAACCTGAGCCCTGCCACATGCACAATGGAGGACCTTCTTGCGGCAACACCAGAGGCACTCCAAGTGGCCAGATACTGGTCAAAGGACATCTAATCAACTACCAAGCTTGCAAACTTTGTGTCTTTTGTATGTTTGTTTGTTTGTTCTGTCAAAAATGTAATACAACTGTTTGGTTGCCTGACACGATAAAAAAAATAAATTCTCATCATCTTGAAAAACACTTCCGCATTCCCCCACAGAAACACCATGTTTATCCAAAAAATCCTCACCCTCATGAACACCCAGGGGGGAACCTGCCTTGATTGTGTCCTCCTTGTCTTTAATGTTGGTGTGATCTTTGTCTCCAGGAACAGCAGCCTGGATGAAGAAATTGAGCATCCGTACTGGAGCGTCCGAGCGTTGGTCCAGCAATATGAGGGGCAGCAAAGCGTGCCTTCAGAATCCCTCTCCTCCAGGTAATCCTGCGCCTGATACACAGTTTGTCTTCTTTAGAATCCCTCTTCATAGTCTTTGTAAATATAAGCAAAAACTCACAGTCCAAGACATAGGTGGTTGCAAGTGTTCAAGGATTTGAGTTCCAGATTGCTGCTGTTGGTTGAATGCTTAGTAGGGTTTCAGTGGTGATTTTAGGAGGTTTCTTTCACCAACGGTTTTGATCTTCTCTTCCGAAAGGAGAGATAAGGAGCAGGACTAGGAGGCTTCCTAACCCACCAAGGTGTAGATGCAATATAATGTGGGTTACGTCTTCTCTGTTGGTGATAACAAGTGAGCCTTCCCTAGCTGCAAACCCAGGGAACATGGGGTCGGGAAAACCTGTGGCACGGAAATAGCCCTTCAGAGGAAAAGCAAAGAGCGTTCCTGCTTCCGTGGGCTCATTAAAAACGGCATGGCACATTTCACAAGCGTGAGGGCGAAGGGCCCGCGGAGCCTTGGCCCAGTTCCAAGGTGGGCAATTACAATTGGCCTCCTGCAGCGGCTGCTGCCGTTCTAATTGGCAACGACGGCTCCCTCCTTTTTCCTTCCCTGGCCAAGCGTTGGAAAAGATTTTGATTGCAAGCCACATGCGGACTCCATTAGCCAAGAATGCTTTGGAATATATATGTGTGTATGCGTGTGTGTATGTATTTACACACATATGTGCACACATACTTTGACTATATATATATACACACACACACACACATACACATATATATATACATACACACGCAAGATGGATGGATGGCATCCTTGAAGTAACTGGACTGACCTTGGAGGAGTTGGGGGTGGTGACGGCCGACAGGGAGCTCTGGCGTGGGCTGGTCCATGAGGTCACGAAGAGTCTGAGACAACTGAATGAATGAACAACATACATACACACACACACACTAGACATCCCCTGCCACGTGTTGCTGTGGCCCAGTCTATATATATTTGTTTTGTGTGTGTATATATGTGTATATGTGAGTGTGTGTATTTGTGTGTATGTGTATATATGTGGTTATGCGCATGTGTTGTAATGTATTTTTTTTTTGGCTTGTTAAGTCCCTTCCACTATGTTTTCCAGTATTTTTATGCGTGATGGTCACATGCTGGCTTGATAGGCAAATTTGGTGTCAATTCGTCCAGAATTATATTTGTACATATATGGTTTTGCGCATGTGTTGCAATGGGTTTTTTGGCTTTTAAAGTCTCTTCTGTCATGTTTTTCAGTGTTTTTATGAGTGATGGTCACTCGTTGGCCTGAGAGGTGTATCGTGTCCAAATTTGGTGTCAATTCATTCAGTGGTTTTTGAGTTATGTTAATCCCACAAACGAGCATTTTATATATATATATATATACACACACACACACTAGCTGTGCCCGCCACATATTGCTATGGCCAACCTTCCCCTCCCTCTTTCTCTCCTTCCTTCCCTCCCTCTTTCTCTCCTTCTTTCTTTCTCTCCTTCCTTCCCTCTCTCTTTCCTTCCTTCCTTCTTTTTGTTTTCCTTCTCTGTCCCTTCTTCTTTCTTCCTTTTCTTTCTGTTTCTTTCCTCCTTCCCTTTGTTCTTTGGTTCCATCCTTCCTTCTCTCTCTCTTTCCTTCCTTCCTTTCTTCCTTCCCTCCCTCTTTCTCTCTCTCTTTCCTTCCTTCTCTCCTTCCTTCCCTCTCTCTTTCCTTCCTTCTTTCACTTTTTTATTTCCTTCTCTCTTTCCTTCCTTCCTTCCTTCCTTCCTTCCTTCCTTCCTTCCTTCCTTCCTTCCTTCCTTCCTTCCTTCCCCCTTTCTGTGTATATGTGTTTTGTGTGTGTATATATTTGTGTATATGTGTATGTGTATATATGTGGTTTTGTGCATGCGTTGTAATTCGTTTTTTGGCTTTTAAGTCCCTCCTGCTGTGTTTTCCAGTGTTTTTATGAGTGATGGTCAGTTGTTGGCCTGAGAGGTGCATTGTGTCCAAATTTGGTGTCAATTCATCCACTGGTTTTTGAGTTATGCTAATCCCACAAACAAACGTTATATTTTTATTTATATAGATATATAGTCTAAGTATGCACATTTGTTTGTCTGTCTGTTTGTCCCACAAAAGCTTCTGTGAGATGAAATGGCCCTCTTTGATGTCACTGGGAAAAAGGTGGCCTGTAAAATACAATAGAATAGAATAACTTTATTGTCATTGTACATTGTACAACAAAATTATTTCATCCCCAATACACATTATATATATAGAATTACATAAACACAAATCCTTCCACATTCTTCTCGCTGTTGCAAAACCGCCCAATGCCACATCTGTGTGACACCATAGAGTTCAATATAGTCACAGCTCTGGAATAAAAGTTATCTCTCAGCCTATTGTTCCTTGTAATCATTAAAAAAATTAATATCCAGAGTGAGATGGATCTTTAAGAATATATATGTGCATGAAGGGAGAGAGGGAGGAAAGAGCCACAAAGAAAGCAATGGCGATGTGTTGTTGAAGGCTTTCATGGCCAGAATCACTGGGTTGCTGTGAGTTTTCCGGGATGTCTGGCCATGTTCCAGAAGCATTATCCCCTGACATTTTGCCCACATCTATGGCAGGCATCCTCAGAGGTTGTGAGTTCTGTTGGAAACTGAGCAAGTGGGGTTTATATATTTGTGGAATGATGTCCAGGGTGGGAGAAAGAGCCCTTGTCTGTTTGAGGCAGGTGTGAATTTTGCAATTGGCCTCCTTGATTAGCATTGAATGGCCTTGCAGCTTCTAAGACTGGCTGCTTCCTGCCTGGAGGAATCCTTTGTTAGGAGGTGTTAGCTGGCCTTGATTGTTTCAGGTCGGGAAGTCCCCTGTCCAGCATTTCTGTGTTCTCAAAGAATAACACAGCATATTATTTGAAAACACAGAAATTGTGGACCACTCTCACAACCCCCATGTCAGACTACACAGAGAAGCCATTGAAATCCACAAGAAGCATATGGACAATGTCAACAGAAAGGAGGAAACCATGAAAATGAACACAATCTGTCTATCAGTATTAAAAAAAACTCTAAAATCAGGACAGTAAATAAAGAGCAACACTAAAAAAAAAGGGGGGGGGGAACTCCAGACAAGAATAAATAGGGGCCAGCTAACCCCTCCCAACAAATTATTATCCAGGCAGAAACCAGCCAGGCTGTCTTGGACATGGCAGTTAAACGGGCTCTTAGGTTAGGATTCTGGGTTTAGCTGTGATGTTTTGGCCTGCTGTTTTGTTTCCAAGGGCAGCCAGCCAGGTGACCTTGCAAAGCTCTTTTGGAAGACGCGATAGCAATGGCTTCCCCCAGTTGTTGGCTGTGTCCTCTGTTATTGTGGCTGTTCTTGGCTTTGGAGCTTCCTTCCTATTGAATGTGGTGGAAGTCTTGCGGCGGGAGTCAGGGAGTTGTATGGTTGGCCTTACCATGTCATGTCAAGCTTTGCCTTGCATCTGTAACTAAAGGCAAGAACTGTGTGCAAAGGAGGACTAGAACAACAGCCCTTTGCGTGTTTAGGTTTACTCTTTCCCTGACATTGTTAAAATCATTCAAGCTTTCCTTTAGTCTTGTTAGCTGCTTTGAGTCTCCTTGGAGAGAAAAAGTAGGGTATAAATAACAACAGCAACAGAAACAACAACAACAACAACAACACCTTTGTGCAGGCACTATGACAGAAGAAGCCCCCAAAGATATGCCTTCCTTTTGATTGCATAGTCCTGTCACTCAATGAAATGGATAATATCTAGGAGGTTGGATGTCCATCTGCCGGGGGGATCGAATGGTGGCTTCATTGAGTTCTCTCTCAACTCTAGGAGACTTTGACATGAACATGAGGAAGAACTTCCTGACTGTGAGAGTTGTTCAGCAGTGGAACTCTCTGTTTTAACTAATTTCCTCTCGCCTATCTATTTGCTCATTAAGTCTCGCAGCTGGGCCAGGTGCCCAGTTGTTTTCAAGCCCCAAATCCTGAGAACCCTCTGGTAGCAATTCAGGGAGTATACTATCATCCCCATACCCTTCAGGGAAATTCTCATGGGAAACTACACTTTGCACAGGAGTCTCCTGGTCCTTCTCTGTATCAGTATCATTACCATCTTGAAATTCATTGGCATCACTTCCCACATCCAAAGTACCCTGATCCTGAAACGCAATCACAAAGTCAGCATTGACATTGAAATTCAACACTGCCTGAGCTCTGCGAGTGCAGCATTTTTCTGAATGAAGCAGAGTGTTGGAACTCTAACACTCTATGCCCAACACAGCTGGAGAAATTACGCTGTTTAGCTGGTATCGCACTACCTGGCATCCGCCAGGAAGTAGCTGCCAGCAATGAAAGGACCAAGGCATTGATGTCTTCGGCCATCCTCTCTTCGGATATCATGCCAACACCTAAAATCAAATGGAATGAAATGCTTTTTAATTAAACCTGGGACAGTGCTGCGGTGTATAATTAGATTTCAATCCTAGCATCTCAAGGATGGAAGGTATCTTCTGTCTATCCACTAAAGGTGGATTTGTGTGCCGGCTTTGTGTCCGGACAAAGGGCAGGAACGGCCTTGTGAAACTTAGCCGCGTGAACCCAAGGGAGGGATCGAAAGGCAGAGATAGGGTTGCTGGTTTTTGTGTGTCTTGTTGCAGTGTGAAACTGTTATTCTTGTGTGTGGGGTGGAATAGAGGGAGCCACAAACATTGAAAGGCTCTCAAATGATGCAGAACAAGGTCCTGGATTGAGGCATGAGAGCCACTAAATGCCAAAGATCCCCAACTTGTGTCTGTGTCATAGCTGGATTGGTATAAACGGTGGAAAAGAGTCCTGAGTCGGATAACCGAACCCAGAGCCTTCTCAGACCTGTGTTAACTGCAGCAACTGCTGCCACATTGGAAAGGGTGTTGTTATCTGTCTCCAGCATCACCGGAGAAGCAAAAGGATTTGTGCTTGTGTTTCAAGGGAGAGAATGTCTGCAGGGGAGACACAGCCATTCAAGGGGAGGATTCAGGTTTC